TGGCGGTGGTGGAAGGACGACTAGCAGAAGATCTCCGGCAGTTATTGGAGCAGGAGGAGCAACTCATCACGGATCATCTCAAAGCTCCCCTATTTATCAACCATCATTGAAACTTATTTCTTTTATTTTTTCATTCATGTTCTTTACTATAAGTTGGTAATAGAAGATATTCTATACATCAAACGTAGTAACTAGATGTTCATTTTTTTGGAATTTTTTTTTTTATTTTTTTTTTGGGCATATGTATATACCTTAAGCATGCTTGATTGCATATATATTATTACATAGGTGATTTTGGGTTTTGTTTGAGAAATATGTATGATTCTACCTTACATTTAATTTGTTATTTGATTCTAAATCGAAGAAATAATGATCAAATTTATTTTATAGGTACATCTACCTTACTTTGAATTTTTTTTTTTTTTTTTTTTTTTTGAATTTTGAATTTTGAATTTTGATGAAATTAAAGATAATCATATGTTCAATCGTTTGCTTCAGACCGGGTATTAGTGCCAACACCGCCCAAGAACATACCGTGTAGAAGGTCAAAGTAGGAGGCTTTTATCTTATCTTATACTTGAATGAACTTAACATAACAACTAATTATATTCTTTTGTCATTAAATATCAAAAAAGATTATCCGATAGAATAATAACGGATGTCCCTAAAACATTGATCATACCTTAATTGGTAGAATTTTCCATCCACTTGCTTCTTCTATCTATCTCTGCCCTTGTCAAAAAATTGTGTACACTCATGTTGCAAGTTAACACTAGCTTCTTGTAAAAAGTGGAATTAAGATTTAGGACGTTTTTCTAAATTAAAAAGGAGTGAGTATCAATATGTAAGCTAATCCATTAACTAATTTATTTTTTCACCAAATTTCACACTTACTCCGTTTCACAAATATTGCAACATTTCCTTATCTGCATCTATTCTCTCTTCTCTTTACAAGGGTCTAGGCAATATTAGGGGTGTTAAATTTTGAGATAATATGAAATAGGTCTAAGCAATCAGAATGAGGAGGAGGAGAGTTTGGACCACAAACAAGGCTAAGGAGGTTCTTTACTAAAACCAATTGGTAATAGTAGGAGTAACTAGAGGTGTCAAAACCGAACCAAACAGAACAAAACCATCTGTTTCGAATTGTAACCGATCCGATTTGATTCGAGAAACTCAACACCCAAACCTAATCTGTAACCGAACTGAACTCAATCCGAATCCGAATTTGACCCAATTTGAACTTAACCCGGCACCGATTTGACCCGACTTGAACTCAACCCGAAACTGATTTGACCCGAATTGAACTCAATTCGAACCAGTTTGACCCAACCTGAAATCAATCCGAACCGAATTGACCCGACAAACACCCGATTCAATCCGATCTGTTTTTTATCCGAACTGATATTAACCTGACTCGATTTTAACCCAGCCTGATTTTGACTCGACATGATTTCAAACTAACCATAGTTTTAAACCTAACCTATTATTTACCTTTTTTTTTTACTTATTAAACCTATATTAATGACACGATATGGAAAAATGATACATGAATAACATGATATCGACCCAATAACAAGATACTCCCTCTGTCCTATAAGATATGATACAGTCAAATATTGCACACATGCCAATGCACTAGTTTGACTTTATTTTAATACAATTAAATATTAATGAAAATTATTTTAAAAATTATATTATGAAACTTTATATTAAAACCTATCTAACAACATATTTTATGATAAAATATATTTTTATTATGTTAATAAAAAAGAAGTCAAACCTAATGCATGAATAGTGAAAAAAAGTCCAACGTCTCATGTATTATGTGACGGAGGGTTAAAAAAAAACTCAATAATTACTCTAATTTTTAAAATGTACTTATTTGAATATTAAATTTGATCAACCCAACCAAAACTCAGCCAAACACGAAAAGTATCTGAATCAAAATTGACCGAATACTAAATCAACTTTAGTAATCAAACCAAACTTAACAGAACCTAAATCAATCAAATTGAAACCAACTCGATCCAAAGCATCCGACCCAAGATTAACCCGGTCAAACCGGCTGTTTTGAATCCAATCCAATTTTATCCGAGCCGAATATGAATCAATATGAAGTTGACCCGATCCAAACCCAGTCTAGACTCGACAGATCTTGACCCGAATTTGACCCGACCCTAAAGTGACCCGATCCAACCCGAAACAGGTTAAAAGGGTAATTTTGAACCGAATATATCGGTCCGAACAGACCTGAACTAAATAGACCCGACCCAAACTCCATCCATTTATCCGAATTGACACCTCTAGAAGTAACTCCTCTAATTTATAAAGTGGAACTAACTCTCCTCTTTCTCCAATGTGGGACACTCATAAATAGGTTTACAATGGGTTTCAATACTTCCCCTCACTTGTGAGTGTCCTTAGAAATTCTAAGTAATAATCCTCTTAGGGGTTGGACATCCTGTCAAAGTGAATCCTTGTCCGGTAGCGATTAAATTAGATCAGGCAATTTTGACCCGACCCGAAAGACCCGACCCATGACCTGAAAGTTGACCCAAAACCATTGACCCGAAAATGACCCGAACCCGAACTAACCTGACCCAAAATGGAGTTGATCGGAACGTGACCCGAGGGCCAAATGACCCAACCCAAAATTGACCCGAAACCGAACTTAACCCGACCCGAAGTGACCTGAAATCCGAAGTGACCCAATTCCTAAAGTGAATAGGGTGAAATGGCAAGTTACTCAACCCGAACTTGACCCGACCTGAACTTAACCTGAAGTGCTGACCCGAATTTGACCTGAACCCTGAATTGACCCGACCCGAATGTTTGCTAACCCGAAATTGACCCGACCCGAACGACCCGTTTGCCAAGTCTAGATTAAATACCCAGTTTAAAAGAAACACGCAACCCGTGGCTATAGTACCATGTTAAATTTTGTGATAATACAAAATGGGCCTAGGCAACACGAACGAGGAGGAGTAGTAAAGTTTGGTTGACAAACAATGCCAAAGAGCTTCCTTACTAAAACCAAATTTATAAATTGGAAGTAACTCTCCTCTTTCTCCAATACGAGACACTCATAATTAAGTGGGTTTACAATGGGTTTCAACGAAGGGGACGGAGGATGAATTATTTTTGTTAATAAAAAAATCTATACTTAGTATTTAAAAACACAAACCAAAGTTGCCGCATGCCCTCCTTCTCTTTCACCTTTCTTAATAATCATTCTCTTTCCTTAAGCCCTTTTCTTATGTTTTCAAAGAAATTCTCTTCGTCTCACCCTTTGTTATTCTCTTTATATTTTGTAATCACTATTTTAATTCAACAAATTAAATTTCCAAAACCTTCTCCTCTTCTCCCTCCATCTTTCAATTCAATTTATTCACATTCGTCATTCAATTCATTAACCCCTTATCTTTCCTCTCTTCTAATATAAATACAAATTTTCAATAAAAGCTTTTTTCACATCACTTAAGTTCCAAAAAATAAAAATAAAAATAAAAAAAAATAGAGAAATATTTCTCAAAATTCTATGTAAAATTTCTCCAACAATGAAGATGATGATTGAAAAGGAAAATATTGAGGCGGCAAAGAAGGAAGACTTGAATTTGACAAGAAATATGAAGAATTTCGTGCAAGAATACTATGGAAATTCCGAAATTCCGTAGGATGACACTGCTTGCATGTCATAGGGTCTTTATTTTCAAGATATTAAGCGCACTATAAGAGAAATATATTTGCAAATAAGAACTTCATAACTTAATATTTGATGTAAAAATGTAAAATTATAAAAGTGTTTGGTATTTAGTTTTTTTTTTATAAAAATAGTTGATTAACTATCATGCAACTAGAGATTTAATTTTATAATTTTAAGCCATTTTTTCTACAATTACTACTAATTCATGAAATGTTATAAACTATCAAAAGACGATGAAATGAATTCATTCAAGTAATTTGTAAAGTTTTAAATAAAACTGAGAACTTAACCACAACCCATGCGTAGAACGGGTCCAAAAGCTAGTTACAATAAAAAAAATGTCTAACCTGCTAGAATTGCATGACATCCTCACTTATAGGAGTGCACGGGTCGTGCTGTGTTGGCCCATGTGTCGTGCACATGTGTTCCGTGCTCAAGCGGGTCGTACATGCTTTGAACTAGTCACAAAATAGTTTTGTAGTGTTGGGCTAGTATGTCATAAAGGGAGCCATTCATGGTTTAGTCTTACATAAACGGACTTGTGTTCAAGAGAAAATGATAAGCAAGGTTTGGTAGTAAAAGTTGCTTTATCTTTCACGATTTCTCCAGCTAGCTATCACCTTAAACTCCTCTTCTTACGCTATTTTCTCTGACTTTGATGCATTTCTTAGTACTAGTTTCATATAACTAGATCATCATATATTTGAGGCTACTTAAGTACTTCATATAAGAACAAAACGTCGGTGACTTTAGGTGTTTTCTTTGTAGAGCGCTTAGTTTACTTTCATCTTTTAAGTACTCAGCTTATGTATAGGATTAGCCAAGGCCAACAAGGCTTGTTTCTTCATATAAGAACAAAACGTCGGTGACTTTAGGTGTTTTCTTTGTAGAGCGCTTAGTTTACTTTCATCTTTTAAGTACTCAGCTTATGTATAGGATTAGCCAAGGCCAACAAGGCTTGTTTCTTCTTTTGGATTGCCCTGTTCGCTGCTGCCTTCGTCTTTGTTCGACCATGTTGGTTGTTCAGTTCACCTCTTGGTAGCCTTGGTTCACCTTTATCGCGTCTTTTGGTTGGGTTCCTTGCACTAGTAGAAAATAGTAAATGGGAAGCGGTTCAAGACCATAATTGGAAGCGGTTTTTGAACCGCTTGCCATAGGGGGATTCCCATTGTCGCTTTAAATGAGAAGCAGTTCAAACCGCTTCCAATTTGAAGGGAATGGGAAGCGGTTTATTGCTTAACCGCTTCCAATTATGACTTCAAAAAAAAAAAAAATGATTTTTAACAGAAATTAATACACAAATATAAAACGTAAGTATAAAAATTTATATTTCCATTAATAATTAATTGTAATATTACATTATAATTCAACACCAAGAAAAATACAACCAAAATCACCACCACCCTATTCCGCCACCACCGCCATCGTAGCCACCAGCCGAAGCTAGCAGCCCACCCCCGCAACCGAAGCCAGCAGCCCACCACCGCAATCGACGCCAGGATCCCACCACCGCAACCGACGCCACCTCGCATCCAACATTCAAACATCAAAATTAAATTGAAATACCCAGAAAACAAATTTAATCAAAAACTTCATTAACAACTAAATTCATATTCGCATTAATTGATACAAGCCACACAACCCCAGAAAACATGAACATCTTTATCTATAATCAACAAAAAAAAAATAAAAAAAAAACCCAGAAAAAATTAATACGAAGATTACGAACCCAGAAAAAAATTGAAAAAACCCATAAAAAATTTAAACCCAGAAAAAAATTGAAAAAACCCATAAAAAATTTAAACCCAGAAAAAATTAAAAAAAAAAAAAACCCATAAAAAATTTGAACCCAGAAAAAATTAAAAAAACCAGATTTAAAAACATAAAAACATAAATCCCGTTCAGAAATTCATATAGAATATGTAATTTGAAAAAACATAAAATTAGATCTAAATTCTTACCTAAAATACTAGAATTCCATGGTCGAATTTAACTCGATTTTTGCTCGGATTTGCTCGATTTGGGCTGCTTGGTGGGTTGTTGTAGGCTACTCGGTGGTTGCCTGGTGGGTGGTTGTTGTGGCCGGTGATAAGAGGAGAGAGAAAAGAAAGGGAAGCTTGAGAAAGGAGAAGAGAGAACAGAAAGAGAAGGAGATGGAGAGAGGAGAGGACGTGAGAATGGAAGGGAGAGAGGAAAGGACGTGAGAATGGAGGGGAGAGAGGAGAAAGAAGTGAGGCGTGAGACAGAAGATGGCGTGAGAAATGAGAGGAGAGAGAAGAAGAGCGTGAGAAATGAGAGGAGGAGAGAGAAGAAGATGGGGTATTTTAGCAAATGAGGAGCGATTCACTGTACAAACCGCTACCAATTACACTATTTGGGAGCGGTTCATCCATAACCGCTTCCCATTTGCTTGATTTGGTTTTTTTTAGGTGTTTTTGGAAGCGGAATTCAATAACCGCTCCCTATTCGAGGCTTCCCATTTACTTTAATATACTAGTGTTGAGAAGCTTTGAAGTTTAGTTTAGTTTAGCTCAGTTTAGTTATCTTTGTTATTTTTATTTTCCCTTTGTTTCTTCCAATTTGCTTGTATTAATTTATCCAGAAGACAGGAGAACTTTTACAATCTACTTGAATTAGTTTATCCATAAGACATGAGAACTTTTATATTCTATTTGTCTAACTTTGTGTTGTAAGGACATTTAGATTCGTATATTCTAAAAAAAATATATAAAAAAATAATAAATTATAAAAAAAAATATAACATGTGATCTTAGCTGCGGAAATACAAGTTAATATTTATGATTGACAAAATTTGTTAATCACAAGGGTAAAGTCGTCAGTTCTTTGAATTATTTGGGATAATTTTGTAAATTTACTAGGATTATGTACCGTTACTTTTAGGTTTTCTCCTTCCTCTTTCCTACTGCTTTCTCCATCAAGCTCCTCACTCCTCTAACTAGGGATGGCAATATTAAGTGGATATCCGCTAACTCGCTCCACCCGTTTTAAATAAATGGACGAAAATCCGAATTAAATGGATGAGAAGCGGGTGACGGATGAAATGGATGATGGCTCAGATCGGATGTGGATGATACTTTTTTCACCCGCTAACCATCCATCCACCCACCCTTTAACATATATTAAATTTTTAATCTAAGAATTTTAATAATTAAATATGAAATGTGCAAGAAAATTACTTGGTTTTTTTTGTTGCAAATTAATTTTTCTAACAATATGCTGTTATTGTTTCCGTTTTTATTAATAAGAATAATAAAAAAAATGTATAAATAACCAATAATTAGAGTTTATGTGAGTTTTTTTTTTTCACTTTAATACTCATCCATTTGTCATCCGCTCCACCCGTTTCATCCTCGGATGATGGACGGACGAATATGGATGATGGGTGAAGCAGGTGATGGATGGATGTGGATGGAGTGATTAGAATAATGGATGGATGCGGGTGAAGCTCCACCCGATCCGAATCCGATCAATTGCCATCTCTACCTCTAACTCAACAATGGCGCTTCAACTCTATAATTTTCAACCTCACTTCACCATCACAATTATTGTCATTTGTTATCTCCTCCTCCTTCGCCACCGTCATCACTTCTTTCGTCATTTCGAAAATTAAGCTCAATCTTTGGAGCTTCAATGGAGGGCATGGTCAACCCAAAGCCCCTACCCTTTGGGTTGACCATGCCCTTCATTTCACCCTTTATTTATAGGGTTTTCGTTTAAGGTCGGGGAAGGTGGGTGGAGATCGAGGAAGTTTCAACAGTGTTGGTGTCGGGGAAGCTTCATTGGTGTTGGTGTCGGAGATGCTTCAATGGTGGTTGAGGTCCGGGAAGCGTTAATGGAGCAAGAAGCAGCTTTTCAGTGGAGGGAGTTTTAATGGTGGTGTAGGTGGAGTAACGGCAAAACAACCGTTAAATCGGTCGTTAATTTCACTCATGAGGTGGCATCGAGTACTGTTCACCAATATTACAATTATGCCATTAGAAATTCGTCAATCATAAAGATTAATTGGGGTTGGCTCGATTTTAGCTACCTTATATTTTTTATATTAATATTCTAACAGCTATCCTCTATATGTTGCTAATTGATTCAACAATACTTTAATAAGATTAAAAATATGGTTTAGAAAAAATGCACCCATTACTATTTTAACATATAAACGACAACAAATCTATGGTGTTTAATTTCCATGTATCAAATATAAGAATTGTAGAAGAATATGTCAAAATGGTTCAAATCTAAGAAATTGGAGAAGCCAATTTTAGTGTATTTTGTTAATTTATCCCATCATCCATTCAAATACAAGCAAAACATAAACTAACCAAACTTTATTACAACTCTAATTTCTCTTGAAAGAATTAATAAACTCCAATTATATCCAACCTCCTTCCTATAATTACTCTTCTCCACCAATTAACCCTTCTCTTTTCCAATCTAAAATAAAAATTTACCTCCTAAAACAAACACCTTAGAAAAACACTAGGGTGAAAAAATAATACTATCATAAATATAAAGTAACAAAGTACCAAAAATAAACGCCATTTCTTACAATGGCGGAGTTATTATCATCAAATAATATGATGAAAATAAACAAATTTTCGGTTGTTTTGGTCACCATCCTTCTCCCATTGTTGGTAGTACAATCAAAGAGGCCACCTTCTCTTACGAAGGACTACTACAAGAAATCATGTCCTCGTTTCGATGACGTCTTAAACGGCATTATAACCACCAAACAGGCAGAGACACCCACAACAGCAGCTGCTGTGCTTCGAGTTTTCTTTCATGATTGCATGGTGGATGGATGTGATGGATCGACCCTCGTGGCATCGAACCATCTCCATGGCAAGGCAGAAAGAGATGCTGACATTAATCTTTCTCTCCCAGGAGATGCCTTTGATCTCGTGACTCGGGCTAAGACAGCCCTTGAGTTGGAGTGCCCTGGCATTGTTTCTTGTACGGACATTTTGGCTACCTCTGCTAGGAACCTTATTACGATGACTGGTGGTCCTTTCTATGAGGTTCCCCTTGGGCGTAAGGATGGTCTAGTTTCCCAGGTTTGATCCCGACCCCACCTATCTGATTCCGCTTCTTAATTCAAGCAACATTTTGACATTTGCCCCTGACAATGCACATCATTGATCATTATTTTTTTAAAAAAAATAAATCTAAGAATTTACAACATAGGTAATTCTGGTTATGGGTTAAAACATATACATGTAGCTATTACGACCTATTTCATACATATATCATGTAAACTTTGTTACGTAATAGATGTTACAACTTTTTTTTTTTTTGAATAATAATAGATGTTACAACTAAATATTTGGCTACATTCTAAAGATAACATATTACATTCTAACATATTGATTTTGTCTCTTTGATACTAGGCCTCAAGAGTGCTTGGCAATTTAGCCCTTCCAAACATGACAATGACTCATATCATAGACATGTTCAAGATCAAGGGGTTCACAGTCCAAGAGATGGTGGCTCTTGTAGGTGCTCACACAATTGGGTTCTCTCACTGCAGCGAGTTCAGCAACCGTATCTTCCACTACAGCAAAACCCAACCCGTAGACCCAAAGTTGAACCCTAAATACGCTGAAGGTCTCAAGAAGTTATGTGCCAACTACACCAAGGACCCAACCATGGCGGCCTTCAACGACGTTATGACCCCTGGAAAGTTTGACAACATGTACTACAAGAATCTCCAACAAGGCCTAGGCCTCCTCGCCTCAGATCAAGCCATGGCCGAGGACCCCCGGACCAAGCCCACAGTGGACCTCTATGCTGCTAATGAGACAGCCTTCTTTAATGACTTTGCTAAGGCAATGTTAAAGGTGAGTATTTACAAGGTTAGAACTGACAAGGATGGAGAGGTCAGGCACAGATGTGATTCCTTCAACAAATAAATCGAAACTTAACTATGAGATGAAAAGGAATTCTAATTAAGAGGAAATGAGAAAGAAAGTCCTTTATTTTCCTAGGAATGACATGAATGTTGGACCTAAAAGAAAAGATAAAAACACACAACCAAAAATTTCATGTAATCATATTGTAGTGACATCAATTTGATTTTATTGTCATTTTCCTTTTCTTTTTTACATGTTTTTATGGTTTGATTTAATTTCTTTTATGTAACGTAACTTTCCATTGTAACCAAAAGAGATTTCATTATACATTTGTCGTACTGTCCTATCACTATATAGAAATTATTATCGTATGCTGAACTTCCTGTTAAAATTTTAATGATTAAAAAAAAAATAATAATAATAATAATAAAATAAAAAAAAATAAAAAAAAAAAAAAAAAAAAACCCTCTCCTTCACTTGTCAAAAAATGTCTCCTGTATTGGCTGTTTATGATTATGTAACTAGGTCTGCGTATGTGCATGATGATAAAAGTTAATTTAAATGTTATTAATAAGAAATCAATATTTCAAAACTTGGATTAATTTACTTGAAATATGAGATTGTCAATACAATCCAACAGAAACGCGCTAAAATTTTAATTAAGTCCAAGCAATATACCCCCACATTACTGTTGTTAACCACTAAAAAGTTGCATCAACATCAGCAAAACAAGTAATGAATAAATCATGCATTTTATAGAAGCTGATGCTCGGAATACATGAAAAAAGTAGTGTATAAAAAAAAGGAAAAGAAAACTACATGAATGAATATTACACTAAAATTGAATGACTAATGCTTTACAGGAGAGTTACCAAACAAATATGTAGTCGTATCGGCAACTGCATGAAAGAGAATAGTCTGCTGCATCTGAATCCAAGATATGCTTGCCCCATATTTTGAAATTTTGCACAAAATTGCAGTCATCAACATGGTTTCTCCATTTTAATCCAAGCAGCTGGATTAAAGATTCTCATCACGCCCCATCCGTATTATAAGAATCCCGAACTCTGAGATAAATGAGATATATTATGACATCATCTTACAGCGCTCAGCATGACTTCCTCTTATCGGCCTTTAGGTGGATGTTAAACCATTTTTTCTTCTTCAGCCTTTCCCTAACAGGCTTCCTTTCTCTTGAGCTTGAGTAACCCTCTTCTTTAGACTCTTTAGCTGAACTCCTTTTGGTTTTACTTGAACTACGCTTCATCGGAGGAGCAACTGTATATGAGGCATGTATTTCATTTCGCTGTTTTAGAAGGTTATCAATCTGCAGAACATGTTAAACGCATGAATGAGGTTGAGCTTTAAAATGAAAAGGCTCTAAAATACTCTTCAAACTAACCGTTTGCATTTCTTTTGCGTATCTATTTGTCATCTCAGTAAATTGAGTAAGAACCTACACAAGTACACATGCAGAAACATGTAAGACAAGAACAGCAAACATTTCAAAGTCTTCACACCCTACCCTATCTTTCCTTTTCTTTCTTTTTTTTCAGGGTATGTTGATTTTTCAGTAATTTATTCCCTGAGATAGAAAGCTCTACTGTTTAGTTCCTTGCATTATTCATTAATAAATAATAAGAAAGAAAGAAGAGTGCTAGGAAATACTTCTCTGTATTCACTCTCAAACTTTGAGAGTTCTGCCCTTTTAGTTAACAAGTGAGCTTCCACTTCTCTAAGCTCACCCTTCTCTTTTATAAAAGGTGAAGCACAGAGAGCTTCAATTGTGTAGCTCATGCTTTTGAAAAAGTTATCACCTGTAAGCATGCAACAAAAAAATGTTTAGGTCTCTCCTAGTAATTTATTTAAGTGTCAGGGTTTCGGATACATATTATAATAATCAGCCCATAATGAACTTCACATCTAGGTTTACCAGACTAGAAATAGTTTTTTACTCGTAAAATAGAGTAAACAAACTAATGTGGATTGATAGAGAAACGAAAAAGTTGAGAATGGAAGAAAAAACAAATGATGTCATAAGGTTCAGCAGAATTATTAATAGAACATTAGAACCCCATTCTCCTTCCCCTATCATACACCCTCCACTTAACCAAACAACCCAAAATCAACAATGAAACCCAAAAATCGATTCTGATTCAAATGTTAACACAGCTAAAAAAAAACGAATACACTCTGTTCCAAAGTACATGCAACACTTATATTCTTGGTAGCCATATTCTATCATTTATCTCTCTCACCATAATCCCACTCTCGTTTCTCTCTCACGGTCCCACTGGCCACTTGTATAGTTTAAACAAAAAAATTATTTCTCAGTCTCTCTTCATGGTTTCCATTGTTCTGTTATAGTGTTATCAGATTAAAAAAAATCAACCATTTGCCCCACTTGCACACTATAATACTCCACTACTGCAGATAAACTCTCCGCAAAGTTAGAGCAATCCCAACTCCCACGTAATGCAGTTATTTTGGAACGCAGGGAGTGCACTTGTTTTGGAACGCAGGGAGTATATAAAAATCATGGACAAGAAATTCACTTGATCATCATAGCTAAAAGAGATCAGTGACAATAAATTATTCCACGAAATTTCATCAATTCTAGCAAAAGCAATAAAAAAAAGGGGGAGAATAGAAAAGCCACATTTTAACAAGTACCCTCACAGCATCAAAACCTGACATATATAACTTCAAAATTCCTCAGGTCAAATTTCAGCTGCTCTCAATATATAATAAAATAAATCTGAAGATAAGGATAGCAGATGCTGGGAAAATAGAGGAGAGAAAGAATAAGAGACAACCAGAGTGGCAATAGTGTTGGTTTATTTTAAAACATTTTAGGCTAAAAAAACCAGCAACTTCTATCAGCAAAGAGGGGAGAAAAACTTTGAATCAATAGTAAAGGGCTACTTTGTAATTGGTAATTGGTACTTCAAATAGAATGCAAAAACAGAGGGATATCAAAGTGTGGATGATGTTGGGACAATATAACGAACATTCCAAAGTGACAAGTGTGAAATTCAGACAGAGGCTTTCATGCAAAAACAAAGAAGCAGGTGCATATTTGACCATAATTAGATCCACTGACCATAAACTGCAAATACGTGTGTTCCAGCTTTCAATTCAATCACTTCACACGGTTGAAATCCATCCAGCTTCTTAAAGAAGGCAGCATCTGGATCTTTTGCAGCTGCCACCTACAATATTCACAATACTGGGTGTAACAAATGCATGCCTTAATTTGAAGTAAATAATTGAAATTGCAATAAATGATAGCTCACCGAACTAGCAGCACGATCTAATCGATAAACAGGGAAACCAAGAAAATACATTCCAGCAGATGTGACCTTTCTACTCTTGGTGCTGTCTTCCTACGTTGAAAGAAGCAAAACGTTAGCACTTTACAAAGATGAGCAAAATTAGCACATCCTTGATTCCTTTCAATTGACAACATATGTAGTTGAAGTAAATATTTAGACAATAAGAAGGTCAACACTCAGTTATATATATTTTTAATCATAAAAGATTGCAATTTTTCTTTAAATTTAAACCAATTTATGCAGGCCTACCAAAAGGAAATATAGCTATTAAACCTCTAGTGGAATCATGCAATCATAGTTGAAAGAAATGCGGAATACCTGTAGAGCAAGACTTAAACCTCCATTTTCTTCTTGTTCAAAATACAGTAGCTGCACAAAAGATATACATCAGTACGCAACAATGATTTTGCCACGGTAATAAAAAAAAAAATAAATAAATTAGAACCAACAGAGATGAAGTACAATGCCAGTGGGTTCCAACTAGAATACGACTAGCAAAGAAATTCAGCAGCCAAATGCTTTAGAACAACATCAGCATCAATAATTAAATAAATGGAAATTAAATCTGGAACTCCAACCAACAATTACTTTCATGGTTGAAAGTTGAGAGAGCATTTATATGTTTCCATGTTCCTTTTCCTGGACTGGCAAAGTAGAGAAAGTAGCAGAAAGAAAGAAAAAAACACTCTTCAGTGAAGCCCATAAAGTGTTGGATTTTGATAAGTTATGAAACCACAGGTATATGATGAGAAGGTTAGCATGGGTTGTAGAAGGGTGAAGCAACTAAAGATGCTAACAGAAACAAGGTGAAAATCCTAAGACTTCACAAGACCCAAGGTTCCTTCTAGAAGAAACTTCTTATAAAAACTTGTGCAGTAGAGACCACCAAACCAGCTTACTTTCTTGATTTGTCTTACATTAAATAATATAGTATAACAATATATATCTTAGAGGTCATATATCAGCTTATAATTACTTCTCATTACTCATCAAAAATACAAAGCACTCTTAACTTCAAAAGTTCCAAAATTGCTTTCTACCTGTATTGTGATTACTTACTGTAAGAGCGCAGTAAAACAAAAATGAGTGAGAAAGAAAACATAAATTAAGGAAGAACAGAGGCCTTCAAATATCTCAAGCTTGCACATAGAATTGTGATGCAGAGACAGATCACTTATCAAGCACTAGAATGCACATTATTGGCTCTGCTTAAAGGCAGACTCAGTTGATGCATCAATAGTCCTTTATTTAAATTTGACTGCTGTCTAGAATCTAGAAAATTCATGCCAGGTTGCATAGGGTATGCAACTATTTTTACTCATGTCAACTACCATATAGAAACCACTAGCAAAGAAAGTATCAAATTCAATGCTTCGCAGACTTTTGCATTGATTTACATAGTCCACTACTATATGCAAACTAGCAAAGGCAGTGTCTTGCTGGTGCAGCAGTTAAACACCCCACCGTTTTTTCTGATTTGATTTACTTATGTCTAGACTCCATAACATCAATGCCAAGTTGCATTGGAGCATTCATACTTGCATGCATAATATCATATGCACCACTAACAAAAGAAATATTACAGAAGCATAGTGGTTTAAGGCCTAACACACACTAGGCTGGGTATAGGATTCCAAGATCAGTAGAACAAGCCCTCTCAGAAGGCTAAACCAACTCTTGACCTGAGAACTAGAAGCGGAAAGGAAATAGTGCTGGAGCATAACACAAACCTTAAATTTGCTTTTATCAGATGATTGCACACGGCAGACAAGTCCACCTTGCGCCTCTTCTTCAGTTATTGAGACGGAATAAAAATGGGCAGACTGTTTTTCTACCTGTAAACCAGGTTGGAATTAAATAAGCCCAAGGAAAAAAAAATGGACAGATTGTTTTTCTACATGTAAACCAAGTTGGAATT